GAAAATAACCTTGCTAGCTAGCTTGCTAGGTATGAAACCTGAAAACAAAGATGGTGAGATGACAAATCATGACAAATATAATTAAATCATGATGTGTCTGCAAGTCCCCACTAAACTTGCATAAAAAGATGCCCTCAAGGGGAACCTAGAGCACTATATAGCTCCTTCGGAGCAGAGTAGCGCAATCTAGAACGCCGCCTCTCGGCGACTAGCGGCGAACGCCCGGAGGTTCCAACTGTGGTCAGAAATGCATGGAGAACGTGAGAAAATCGTTGTTTCTTCAGTATTGTGGGGTTGTACGGAATGGCAATTGTTTTTGACATAATAATGGAAAATTTTAGAATAATTTGCGCTAAGTTTTGTGCCCCGCAAGGACGTGACTTTTTTTTAAAAATTGTCTGAGCGGCATCATGCAGCAGACGACACGGCGACGTCACACCATTCACGTGACCCGCTCCGGCCAACCCGAAAGGCCCATCTCCGCTGCGAGCAAAAATCGTCTGCTTCAAACGCCATTGCCTTGGAAATTGCCTTCTCAAAATTTGCACATGCATCCGATATTATTAAAACTTTGATAAATGGTTTAGTGCTTTACTACCTTCACGACAGACTAGTTTTGAAAAGTGTGAACTCGCCGTTCATTTTTTAATTAGCCGTGTTGTATCGATCTCCATGTATTCTCCCATAGGGCGGGCCGCCTCTTGGAACCCTGAGTACCACGTGACTCGCGCCGAGCCGCTCTGTCGGCCATCTTGTCGGCAAAACACGAGGTTCAAAGGATTGCGCTACTCTGCTCCGTAGGAGCTATATAGTGCTCTAGGGGAACCTAATGCGTTGCTGTCCCAATTCTGCATGGAAGCATAAAATAAAATGGTGTTAGTGGATGCCCCAGTAACATAAAAGATAAAAAAAAATACGCCTGCAATTAAGATAAAGCCTTTTTTTTTTTTTTGCGCGTTTATTGTTAAAGTGTGGAAAATGTTGCAGGACTGATACGGGAATTCGACTGCTCGGTTAGCCTCGCCAATGCAATCTGTCTACCGAGCAACACCAAATAAATGTGCGATGAAATAACAACGTAGTGTATAAAGCAACTGCATGCAAAATTGTGAGGCTGGCCGAAAGGCAACGGATCCGTTGGGTAAAACCGACGCTCGTTTATCCCCGTCAAACATATACCTGGCTAACAGCAATAGTGATGAAAACTATCTTCATTAAGCAAATGTTTGCGAATTCGTAAGGTTAGCCAAATGGTCGCACAGCGGACGGTCCAATAGGTACTCCCTTCCGTCCGAATTTGTCAGTGTATCCATACTGCGTGCAGACCGGGACACAGCACTGTGTTGGCATCTTCACTGATACTCTGGAGTGCGTAAGCTGTCCTTAAAGCAACACATGAAGCGCCTAAAGCGCAGTTGGCGCACAGCAAGGTTGCGCCGTGCTTTCCTTCACCATGTCACGCAGCTGCTGACCGCTTCGGTGTTATTCTTTTGCAAAAGGCCACAAGAGCTTATAGCCACTGTTGTCTAGTTTATGTAGTTGTCGTTTTAATGTCTACATTTTTCTACATGCTGCCCAAAGCCTCTTGCATGCTGTCTTCTGCATCAGTAGTGGTACACCCTACAATGGTGTTTTAAGAGTTCGCAATGTTGTTGTGAATACTTCGCAATTTAGGTAGCTACGTGAATTGTATGTCTACGGATTCTTCAGACTCTTGCCATTAAATACTATGCGACTGAGCTGGAATGCTTGAACGTTGGCTTCTTGACAAGTGTCAGATTGCTTGTGCTTTTCGATGTGCCCAATTGGACATAACTCTCAATAGAATTTTAGGTCATCGATTTCGGTATCCACTTACATGTCCCTTTGTACGCTGCATTTGTATCCCTTGTTGCGATTAGAACCTGCAGAGTAACAATAAACTCTTTACTATGTCATGAAGGCCTCGTGTTTGTGCTCGCAAACTAGGGTGAAAGCACGATAAGCGCCATTTTGAAATCGAAAACAATACAGACAAAAAGTGATTAGTGCCATAACCTAGATGGGATGGTGCTAAAACGGGGTAAAAAAATATAAATCGAAAAAACAAGTTTTTTTTAAGCTTATTTAAGAAGATATATAATTAGTATTGTTCAAATAATTTCAGCCTGGTCACTTCAATAGCTATCATCACCTAAGTGTGTATCATCTGTACATGCTAATTGCAGACTTTTAATTGCTGGAGAAGAAATAATTTGAAGACAGAAACCAATGCGGATGGGCATCGAGACGTTGGTTCGCTGTATTGTTGTTTGATGTCACCGCGGTACAGACTTAAAGCTTGCATGCGCTACACATTTGAGGGTGTCACGCAAGTCCTTGGAAAGCTTGGTTTCAGCACGCCCCAGGCAGCTCATAACAATAAAATGTTAGTGCTATCAAGAAGTTTACTCAACTCTAAGGGCGTTGTACTGAGTGGTATAGTTTCTTGACACCATCGAAACTGAAGCATATAAAGAAATAACTGTTCCGCAAAAAACACAGTAGCTTTCGTATGTCTACCGCTGATGAATAGGTACCAGATTTTATCTACTATTAGCATACAACAATTTGGACCAATATTTCAGCCACTAGATGGCACTGAATTTGTGAAGGGGTCAATCGCATTAAATGATATTGACAAAATGGCTCCACCACCAAGTTTTTCCATTACCACAGGCTTGTTCTGAAATGGGCAAACCATATTACAAACTGGCAGCAACCACGCGCCACTGGTAGATAAAGATAAATAAACGTCATGTGACACAAACAGATGAACAACCGCTGTTACAGCACCTGAAAATGGGAAAAAAGGATGCCAATGTTTTGTGCGTAGATACTAGAGAGCAACTCTCAAGCAAAAATTTATATCGCTTAGACTTTTGTGGCTATACAGAACCACCATATTCATCGAAGTGCAGGTCAGCGTTTTTTTCATGCGAAATTCGTTTAAAATTATGGATCAACCTACAATCGTCATTCAAGGGTGTCTAGTTACAATAGTGAAAACAATTACCGACCCGGTCAATGGCAAAGGTTCTGGTGCTAGTACGAAGTGGTGAAGTTTGACGCCAGTGTGTGCACAACAAGACTGCCACAGTTTGGAGTCGCGCGATTCTGGAAGTTTGGGCAATGACGTGACTAGTACGATCGACAAGTGCATTTTAACCATCTCGACTCGGTACCGTGCAACTATAGTGACTATCAATTCTCTTCTCTTCCACTTTAAAAAGGCGGGGTTGACCTGTGTTCTAATTTTTTATTTTCTAGGCAGGGTCAACCTATATTTATAATGAACTGGTGATGTCACTTGCATGCGCCGTTTTTGCGTTTTGTTTTATACAGATATTCGCTTACAGTCTCCTTTTTATTCATGAACACTGCCTATATCTGCACTTTTCCAGATAACTTCCATTCGAAGTGATTAAACACGTCAACATCGTCAGTTTTGTCGAGATCGCGTGCATGAACAGCCACTGTTGAAAACGCCAGCAGTGAAACGACACTGCAAGTCGTAGAGACCACTAGACCACGGTCCAATATACCACCCTCGCGTACGAACGCAACATAGCCGTACAAACCTCTATCGATAAAGATAAGGTCGAGTTCGTCGGTACTCCATAGTAATTTTTTTAAATTTTTTCTCTGCTGCTTTTATAAGTCAGACCAATCTGCAAACCTAAAAAGATTGTTAAAAAAAAAAAAAAGTACCCCCTATATTTTTTTGAGAGCAGCCATGCATATTGAAAAGGACTGAAAAAATGGCAAGCCAAACCACGTGCCAAAGTTACAAAGGAACGGAAACGTCACACGACGGGTTCAGACAAAAAGAAAAAAGCAAAGTTCTAGTGTTGACACCCGCTGTATGCAAAATAAAATACTGCCGTTTTTTGCACAAGTCTGGGAGAAAGTGCTTGGGAGAGGCACCCATAAGGGGAACCTGTTCACCCTTACTGGGGATGCACGCACTCGTACATACAAATGGTGTACGCCAGCGAGAGTAAGTATTGTGTAAGTGCACGTGTTGCAGGCGACGAAAATGAACGCCCCGGCGCTCTGGAAGAGCATTCGGTGTATGCACCGAACCCTACATACACAGACATGCTTTCAGCATTTGCATCTTTCCCACTGTGGTCCCTCGCCAAACCATCCAATAAAACATCGCTGCAATAACAAACAAAGTAATGAGTGGCTTTGCCGGTTTTGGCCTGCCTTGTAGACTCGAATGCAAGGCCCGTGCTTAGATCGGGCCCTTGATGAATGTAGCCGTGAAGCCCGAGCATGGCCCGCGACCGGCCTGTACTTGTGGAGACCTCTACTTTGTCCAACATACCACCGACCATGGCACATGGAGACTACATACACCGCCCGATGCTCCTAACGAGTCTCCAGACGCAGAAACCTGATCCTGCCCCAATGCGTCTTCCTTCCATGAGAAGGCAGGCCCTTTTGAAGGACTGGAGAGACCTTTGTGTCGACACCCAGAAGGCATTGTGCGTGTATGGCGAGGGTGCAGCACCCTTCTCTCATACCGCATCTAAGGACGACGAACGTATCACGGGTCACTTCATCGTTGCGTCGTCGTCTCTAAAGAGGAAATAGTCGGAACATGTGGACGAATGAACCATAATCGTCGCATGGGAATGAAAGCCAATAGACAAAATTTGGTGGAGCCGGGTTCAAACTCCGGCTCTTGTCACTGCCAGTGAGGTATGGTAACAAGGAAACCCAAAGTTTCAATCCAAATTGCGCCAATATACGGTTCATTCACCCGCACATTTGGACCAAGAATAAGTAATATACGCACAAAAAGAAAACACGGTCGACGAACGCGGTCGTAAGACTCTAATGGAAGTCTTGCGCAACTGCTAGTATTTTCATGTGCCACACATTTTAGCCACATCCCAGCTGGGAACGCTCTCGGCCCAAACCGGACTGTAGCAGACGGCGGCGCACCGGCTCGGAAATTCGAAAACGAGGAGTTGGAACATGGCCGGCCCAGTGGGCCCGCGTTGCAGTGGGCGCTCTTTATTTGCACGAGAACGGCGGCCTCACTCCGACTGGGGCGACGACGTGCCGGCCTTGTCTTCCTCCAGGATGCGCAGCACGGCCTCCGGAATGTGGCCCTCGTCAATCTCCTGGAAGTACTGCCGATACTGCAAGGAACAAGGAAAGGCCCGTCAACCACACTTTCGGCAACCAAACTCCCGACACGCGCCTCGCGGTGGGGACTGCCTGCTTCCGCTCGTCGCATTTGACCAATCAAAATGGTCGAATAGCTTCGCAAACTAGCGACGCAGTCTGTGCATGCCGAGACCGCTCTGGGTGACCTCGACTTAACTGTCTAGTTTGGGTTTCCCAGACGGTTAAGCTATGAACGCATTATGCTCATTGCATAGTTTGCTCTCTGTATGCTGTTTAATATTGCTCAATGATATAAGTGTAATAGAATGGATTACCCAATATAAACAACGATGGGTAACGGGCAGATTTTGGGTTTTCACAGCGAGATTGGGCATAAAGGCAAGAATCTCACAAGCTAAGCTGGACTGAAAATGTCCTTTAGCACCTGCTGTCCTTCTTTTAAAGTTGCTCTATTGACTTACAAAAAAAAAAAAAAAAAAAGTGAAAAAATAAAAATTAAAGGGACACATTTTTGTTTTTGTAAATTTTACCACAGAGTTCTTTTTTTTTTTTTTAATATTTACTTTGTTAGACCCATTTTAGGTGGGGGTAGCCCTGCTCTGGGCCCCGGCCCATCCAGTGCTTAGCTAGCTAAGCATCTCTTATTGGCTCTCATTGGAGGAGAGATGATTGACGTGTGAAATGTTTCTTGTAAAATTACTTCTGCGTGCTGTAATGGCATTCTTCTTGACAATACTTTTACGTTTGAGAAACAAAGAATCTGGTAGTCATTATTGTTTTCAAAAATATCCCGAGATTGCCTTATCCGCTTTAAACGATAACAAACATGGCTGTGGATGTTTGCAGCATGCTCCTGTTCAACTCATTTATTTTTATGAGTGCGAGCCGTGCGTTCACCGAGGTGTTTGAGGTCCGCTTAACCAACCTAGTTTGCAGCGAACACCTGTCGGAAGTGCAATTGGACGCGCTCTGTGGGTGCTTGTTTTCGTGGCGGGACTGGCCCAAGCCTAGCATCCCATGTCAACTATGTTGCTTAATCTGGCTTGATTTGGTCCTTTTGCCTTTGCTGCTCTGTGAATAATGCAACCGTCGTGATTGCAACAATGGTTTAATACCGAGAAGATACTTACACAGGTTCTTAACTACACAGGCAAAAATTAAATAAGAACAGAAAAGCTGGAAGGATTACATATGTGTTTTGTTGATTCTAGTCCTCCTGGTCTCTTTTTACCGCACATTGACAGACAGTGAGAGACACTTGTATTGAACCATGGATCGTGCATGATGGAATGCTAGAATGCTGCTTTCATGGTTGCGTCTTGTGAGCGTTGCGGAAGTTTTTAGACAGGGGCGAAATAGCAACGAACGAGGGTGAAAACGGACACCGATGTGCAGTTTTCATTTATGCCTTACAGGCATCACATGACTATAGATGGTAGTGAAATAGCAGGTGATGCGGCAGGCTGCTGTGCGTCTGCTCGCGTGGCTAGCGTCAGATGCCAGACTAAACACCTGATGTCGCGAAAGGGAGATGCTAGGCTCCCAAACATGTTAGGTTGAGCAGCCAAGCCAGTCCAGTAGTAATGGGTGGGGCTTAGAATGAGCTGTGACCTCCATCTAAATTGCGTCTAATGGCGTAAATATTGGACGAAAACCTTTTTCTTTTGTGGAAGAATTATAAAAAAAAAAAAATCCGATTTATGCAGTATTTATTTATTTATTTACCCTCAAGGTACAGAGTACATTTTAGAGGGGAGTGAGCAAACAATAAATAAACATAATTAATCAACCAAGGGTGCTGTTAATAAGTGATTGCTTAAAGAGTGAAATATCATTAATATCTGCAATAGAAGCGGGAAGGTGGTTCCAGTCAGTCGATGTGCGAGGTATGAACGAGGTGCTGAATTTGAAGGTGTTAAAATTAGGTATGCCTACCTTGTGAATATGGTCGAGACGGGATGAACGGTAAGAGGGCTCGAGCATTAGTTTCAAATGGAGAGATGGGATGTGATGATAAATTTTGTGAAACAGGCATAAACGAGCTGTTTTGCGCCGAGACGACAAACTGGGAAGTGACAAAGTTAATTTCATTGATGTTACACTGGCTGTACGATGATAGTTAGATAAGATGAAACGAACGGCTCGGTTTTGTGTAGCTTCTAATCTGCTGATAAGACCTTGGTGACCAGGGTCCCATATGGATGACGCATATTCTAATTTAGGACGGACTAAGGACTTGTATAAGATTAGTTTAAGAGAAGAAGGGGCTTGAAAAAAGTTTCGTTTTATGTAACCCAATGTGCGGTTAGCATTACTTACAACATATTCGACGTGTGTATTCCAGGTAAGGTCAGAGGTTATATGGACTCCAAGGTATTTATAACATGTAACAGACTCAAGGGATTTATTGTTAATGCTATAAGTAGGACATAAACTGTTAGAGCGGGATACTCTCATTGACTTACATTTATTAGTGTTAAGTTCCATTTGCCAAGAGTTGCACCAGAGAGCTATGACGTCAAGATCAGATTGCAAATGAATTACATCAGAATGGTCAGTTATATTGCGGAAAAGGACACAGTCATCAGCGAACAAGCAGATCGGCGAGGAAATATTAGTTACAAGATCATTAATATAAATTAGAAACAACAGGGGACCAATTACAGAACCTTGCGGTACACCGGAATCGACAGGCACCAAATGAGAATTATTATTATTTACGTTGACGAACTGGACCCGATGAGATAGAAAGGCGATAATCCAATCAAGCACATAAGGATCAATGTTTAGAGTGCGAAGCTTATGGATTAGTAGCTTATGGGATACTTTATCGAAGGCTTTTGAAAAATCTAAGAAAACACAGTCAGTGCTAGAGCCGTTATCAAGGAAGGAGTGGAGCTCATGAGTGAAAGACAATAATTGAGTATCGCATGAAAATGGCCTTCTGAAGCCATGTTGAGCGGACGAGAAGAAACTATTTGATTCAAGGAAAGACACTAAATGGGAGCAGATGATATGTTCGAGGACTTTACAAGGAACACTCGTTAGAGAGATGGGACGGTAGTTGAATGGGTCATGGCTGTCACCTGATTTATGCAACGGTACCACCTTCCCTGTCTTCCAATCATCAGGTATGGACCCTGACTCAAGTGATTGGGAGAATAGCTTAGAAAGAATGATGGCCGAATACATTTTAGTGCTTTTTAGAAATTTAGAGTTAATACCGTCAACACCTGCGGCTGATGAACACTTCAACACATCTATTACCTTAGATACTCCTATGACATCAATGAAGATAGGGTCCATTGGTAAAAAATTCCGAGAAGTTAGAGGAGGCACATAAGTATTACTAAGAGCTGAGAATGATCTAACAAAGACATCATTCAACACAGAAGCACACTGGGCAGGTTCCACAATTATCCCATCAGAAGAAGTAAGAGATATATTTTTGGTTACGCTATTGTGACAATATTCCAAAATCGTTTAGGGTTATTAAGAAGCATGGATGGAAGCGTATGGTTAAAGAAAATTTGTTTTGCATTTTTTACTGTTTTGGCATACTCGTCAGCAATATCGTGATAGGCCTGCCAACGCAATTCAGATGAAACGTGTTTAGCGGCACGGAACAATCTTCTCTTTTTGTTGGACAGTCTTTTCAGCTTTCTATTGTACCAGGGTGCGTCAGCATGGTGGCGAATATTAACAGATGGAATATAGTTTACAGTCAAAGAATCTACAATAGTTTTAAACAGACTCCAATTCGTCTCGAGAGAGCGATTCTGAAACCCTTCTAAATATTCATCAAGAAATTTACACAGCTTTTGGTTAATTGTAGTGAAATCTGCCGCCTTGTAATCTCGAATAGATTTGAATATTGGTAGTGATGGCCCTTTAGGTATGTTAAGAATAAAGTGAAGTACGTGATGGTCACTGATACAAAGCATGCATGATATTGAAGAAACAACGTCTGGGTGAGTGGCAAGGATCAGATCTAAAACGGATGACGATGTTGCTGTAACTCTGGTAGGAGCTTTGACAAGTTGAACCAAGTTATAATCAGAACATAATGTAACAAACTCCTTAGCATCAGTGCTAAAGGGGTATAAAGAAATGCCGTCATCAGACCATTTAATATTTGGATAATTAAAATCACCCATTAGGATTATGGGTGAACCTGGGAAAGTATGGTTGACATTTAAAGGGGTACTCCACCGTTTTTTTGAGCTACCTCAACTAACTATATTTTCTGACTCCCCGGCCTTTAGCCTTTCCGGTATGCTATTTAGCATCGCGAAATTCATAATAGGTATTGTGAAATCGGCAAATGAAAATGGTGCAAAAACCAATATTCAAATATTCGCGCACTTTTCAGTGCCGTGACGTCAGTGGCAGGCAGGCTTGCCAGTCGAGCAAGGAGTCTAAAAATAGAATATGCCAATCATTTGTTCCGTGCTGGAGCGCGGATACGGGAGCGAGCTTCCAAAGCACTCATTTGACACCAAGAAACTGCTTCAAATCCGTTGGGAACAACTCCTGTAGTCCAAAAAGTTAACCCCTGCCTTCCACTGATGTCACTTTGTTGTTGTTGCCAGTAGAGACTTTTTTTTTTTCAGTTTGAAAAACATGGTGAAGACCAAAACTGTAAATTCAATAACTTCGCGAAAAAACAATATTTTGACCTAATATTTGGGGTACTATTTTAGCAATGTTTGTTGGTTAGTTTAGCAAAATTTCAAGCAAATCGGAGACAATGAAAAAACCAGTGGAGTACCCCTTTAAGATAGTTGGTAGCCTAACATATTGAGGTATTTAGCGCACAAACTAGACAGGAAGAACAGGACAGAAAAGAGCACCACTCACAACTATGTTGCAAGTGGCGTTGAATATAAGATATATACGACATATTCGGGCGTCGTATATAAGATACCACTTTCATGTGGCAAGAGCTACACATGCAAACGGGCAAATGCCTCAGTGATTAACTCTAAAAGCATCATTACTCCTTGAAGGC